TGGGATACATGTGAATTTAGTAACTATAAAACTTCAGTCGAAAACTAAAATTTAGCAGGTTCTGTGTAATACTAAAGAGATATATTTCCAATAAAATTTTTTTGTACAAAGTTAGATATTTTATTCCTACATAATTCGATTTAGGCATTTATTTTAGCCTGTTTTCAAGATGTTATATGATTAAATGAAGTACATGCTATCGTGTAACGCATTAGCACATTATTTAGACAATATCCTTAGGTGACTCACATATTTTTGTAAAACAGTTATTTCATAGCAAATACCTAAACCATTTGATCTAGCAAAACAGTTTATCCGCGTCTCCTTCGGTGACCCGCCTTAATATAAAAAAATCCACTAATTTCAAAAAAGAGAACTTTTTAAACTCTCTCCTGAAAAGTTGTAATTTTGCAGATATTGGCTTACATCTAGGGTGCGATTTATCTTATAACTACAGTTTGACAATCTGAGTCCTAGCTAACTTATTGGCAGCAAGCGTGCCGTTTAAGTCTTTTTGCACCCATTAGACTTAGAACCTGGTTGGCGAGTTTTTAATTCGCAATCTAAGTGCAATTGCCTCGGAGGGAATGCGCTTGTTGCTAAATAACTTCTACATGTTTGATGTTATCCTGGTGTTTTTATTTGATGGTGTGGAAATAGATATTTGCATTTTAAAATTAACCAGACACATACATACATATCTACCCACGTTGAGTCTAGTATTATTTTATATTAAACTAAAGCTCTGAGTGGCACTGCAACTGTTATGGATAGACGTGTATTTCCGACGACTTGTTTGTCCGGTCACTTAGTAATATAAAAAAAAACGTTACAATCCGTGCTCAAACTCAGTCCTTCCGAGAAGTTGGGTCACCCGGTAGGATGTCCAATATGCTGTCAACCTTTCTCATTTGTATAACTTTGCTAATATGTTAAGCAAGGCTTAAGGCTCGTCCTTTTGTGCTATTAATAAATAAATCCAAGAAATAAATAAGCACATAATGTACAACACTAGTATCATAAATCCATCTTCACAGGAAGCATTACAATATGCGTTAGGCCTTGTCACAAATACCCCGCGAGTCATCCACCGCTCAGAAACGCGACCTGAGCAACGTGATATGTCAACCGGTTGCGATACCGTTGCGACGATGCTTTATATCGCTAGTGGTTCTATGCTATTAAATTATTAATACTTTTTGGATTACCAAGGTCGGTTTGGGGTATTGATGACTTACTTTTGCCTTTTAGCATGGAGGTTACAGAGCGATTTCGGCACGAGCTTGCACCGAGATATCTTTATGGGATCGTTTGCAGATGTCATAATCAATTTATCATGTTTTGACGTGAGACAAACGTGAGATAATTAAGCTAAACCAGGGTTTCTTAACTCGTGGTCCATGAACCACTGAGGTGTCGTATAATGAACACTAAGGTCCACAAGCCTACACAACATAATGCATTAATATAAAAATTGGTATAAATTATCTTGTGAGTAAATAAATATTGTGCGCGTGACTTACTTCTTCTTCTGCATCTTTTCGGAAGGGGTCCGTGGGCTCTTTGAAATTTTGAGAGGAGTCCAGGACTAGGAAAAGGTTAAGAGCCCGTAGGCTAGATGAAAAGATGGACGATGGACCAAAGCAGTCACAGCATAGGGGCTGAGGCGACTGACCTTTTCAGTCGCCTCAGCCAGATGGTACACCAGACATTTGAAAATTGGCGCAATAAAGAAGATGTTTATACCTTGCAGTGGGTTGTGGGAGCTTTGGGGTCAGAAATCTTATGTAATTGCCAAATCGTCTCTTAAATAAACGACACTTAACGTTTTAAGATGTAGTTTATAAGCATATAGCTGCCGTGTCACTTGATGGTGATGATAAAATGGTCGATAATGGCGCATGTTTAAAATACTCTATTAATAAAATAAAATAGGATAAATGAACAATGAAACAAAGAAAATGTAAGCAAGTACGTAATAAAAACCGAACATTACATTTAAAATTCAACTCACAACTCAGATTCCCATGAAAATGGAATGTTTTACGCAAATCAAACGGCCTTACGAAATGCATTGAAGATGCACCTTAGCACGAGTGCATAAGTTGCATCATGCATTCGAGTAAATGCCAAGGGGCTCCTTTGTTTATTGGAGTGCTGTGAGAAGTTTCAGAATGTTTCAATGGAAGTGAATCGTGCTTAACTTACATATTTGGACTATAAAAATTGCTTGATGGCATAACCGTGGCTGTCGGTAACGTAGAGCAAGATTGCTAACAGTGGCAAAACAATCTTGTTTTTGTTCGATTTCTGTTTTGAATGTTTCGTGTTTGTTGGTTGGATTTGGTAAAACTATTTATTTATATTGGTTATAGTCAAGCGTCATCATTATTAACCCATTTGTAAGTCCCACTGCATGGCACGGGTCTTCTCTCAGTCCCCGCTGGCCCAATGGCGGGTTCAGGACTTCACGCGCATTCCGACTGTTGTGAAACTTCTTCAACATGCAGCTTTTCATCACCGAAAAGCTCACGGTGACAAATTTAAGTAAATCATTAATATCTATAATATCGTACATACAGGCGAAATGTCTGTAGTCATTAAAAGTACTTCCAAAGTAATAAGATGAATTTAATTACGCAAAATTGAAACATGTGGTATTGATTGTTCTCTTGATAGTGGCTTATCATGACATTTAGACGGCACAAAGGTTCAGCGCAAATGTCAACTGTCAGGTCATCATTCAACATTTTTCCTAACACTACAATGCTAAAGCGTAACAGGCAATGCTTTGCGAAATTATTTTTGCATTTAAGTCTTCTGTATTGTGAATAGATTTGGTCGCAACCAAAAAGCGTAATTAGCCGTAGCGAATTTCAAATGTGGAAACGAATGATTTAAAATGTTCATTTTGCACACGAACGTGAGTTCTATTTTTGAAAATCCAAACATCGGAGCTATTCGAGTTTTACGGAAATTGACGATTGCATTGTTAACCTATTTCGCTCTAATATATTAAGGTATTACCACATTTATTGACGAAGAATCAGCCTGTACTGGTAAGAAAAGTTTCATGTCTGGGCAATAAGAGCGAAAAGGACATTGCTAACCGCGGTCGAGGCGACTTGACACAAGCTAACGTCTTTTTCACTGACAAAGTTTAAATAGCACATTAATATTAGGTTGAAGTTACGCAGTGAAATTATATATTTTTCATCACACTTGCACGTAAATAGTACGTTTACATGGTGGCTAACTTGAGTATAATGCCCCAAATAAAATCCTCGGGCCTTTTTTCTTATCATTACAGCTACTGTCGGTAAGGAACTTTTTTTAATGTGTAGCACGACGTACTTCCTTACATAGGTCAGGTTCAAGTTCAAGCAAGGAGGTTACTGAAGTTCAAAATTAAAACAATCGCTTAGAATGTTATCTAAATAGAAATTTAATTGCAATTCAGCCACATACTACTTAAATACTTATTGTTAAGAATTTCTTAAAATTGATTTCAATTATTTTGTGTGTATAAATTGATTTTTTTTTACTATCCATCATGGCTGTATTCGTCTTTGCTTTTTACAACATCTCAGTTCGAGTTCTATTATCTATGGAAGAATAGCTAACTGGCCATGTGTTGAGAAAAAATACAAAACACCCGCCATTTGCAAAACCCGTAATTGTTGTGTTTATTCATACTAGAAGTAAACATTGTATTTATTTCCTCGCAAATATGATGAAAAACATTGCATGCATCATGGACGGTAAAAAAATACAAAATTCGAGTTAATAAAGCCTTCAGCCTTCGGCTTTAGGCTTCCAACCGACGCGCCTTAATAATTTCTTATTTAAAGTCCTTAATACACAATGTACTATTAATTAACCGGCTTCTTGAAAACATGTGTAAGTCGGTGCTAGAACATCGTGATAGTACTTATTACTCATATAATCAATTAAAAGTGTACCTTAAAAGGTTTATATTAAGGTTGATATTAAAATCAAATAACTTACCTATTTATTCCTTCACACTGTTTTTACAAAAATCTAATTATCTCGAAAGCGACAATTTGTGGGTTGGTTCTAATTTGCATAACTATGTCCAATTGGACGTGATGACGGACGATATGACTGTTTGAAGTTTAAAAATGTTTCTCACTCTTGTTTTATTGTCAAAACTTAAATGTCATGTAACTCGAGAGATATTCATTTATGTTTATATGTTGGATTTTTTTGCTAATCTAAGAGGTTAGACTTTAGGAACCGTTTGGTACATATAATGAATTTTTTAATAACATTGTGGATTAGATCCTTTTTGCTTAACTACGACCAATTATATTCGCTTGTTTCCGTAAGCCGCGAATTAGATTTGAAAACTATCGTATTATGTAACTATTGCATATGTTTAATTCTATACTTTTATTAACTGCCTCCGTGGCCGAACGGTTACCATGCCGGACTGCCACGCAGAGGTCCCAGGTTCGATTCCCGGGCCGGGAGAAATGTTTGTATGGCTTACATTTATTTCTCTCTTGAGTTTGGGTGTAATTTGTGGTTGTCTATGTGTGTGTCCATGGCACCCGCGACACAGGGTTTCCGTAGTGCGGGGCTATGTTGAGTGTGTGCGTTATACTTTGAAAATTTATATCACATTTTTTGCTTTACCTTAAGGCCCGAAACGTTGGTTTGTTTGAAAAAAAGAATATACGCGATTTAGATTATAGAAAGAATATACGCGAAAAGCAGTTTCATTTCCATCATAATTACTATTTAAATTACTTATCATTGGTAACTAACCTTGTAATTTCAAAATTAATCCAAAATGAGTCTCAATTTTTCATTATAAGAACCATAGGCCATTTTGGTACCCGGTTAAATTCGGTCTATGGCTATCTGCGCTGCTTTGAAAAACAGTTTCATTCCTAATTTGTAAAAAACAATTGCGAAAACTAAAACTGGATAATCGATTAAAATTTCAGTTGATTTATTGTTTTATTTTAACTCACCGGTAAGCATGGACATGGACGGGACAGCCGGTTAGAGGATTGTATAGCAGAAGAACGCAGGCGACCACGTCGCCTTGCACCACAGCACTGGTGATGCTGCCGTGAGGGATGAAGTGCTTTATCGTCTGCTGTTTGCCTTTTGCCGTTACATTTTGGATGATTTTCAGACCTTTGTGGGAAACCTGTGAAATAGAGAATAAGAATTTGATACAATGACAATTTACACAGGGTTAGTTGTTAAATACTAACAACCTCCCAGGATTATTCATATAATAAACAACAACTTTTGTTCCAAAATAACTTTTTCTTGTGCGGCTATTGGTATGCGTGTGTAGTGTTTACTTATGCTGTGATATTTCAATACTACGTGTCGTTAGAGATTCAATTTTTTGATATGTTGTATAGCAATGACGTTACTATTCAGATTTTGTATGGCCTAATAAATAAATAATAATAAATAAAAAGACATTAATCCACAAAACGCACTAACACACATAAGCGAACAATTAAAATAAAATAACAGTAACAAAAAGTATGAAGACAGCATTGCTGATTTTCAGGCCTCACCATGAAAAAAAAAAAGAAAAAAAAAAAGGCTTCACCATGAAGCTATTCGCTTGCTGCATCATACCGGCTAGCGGAGTGTATATAAAACACCAAGCAATTAATAGAGGCTGTCTGTGTAGCACTATATGTACATAAAATGTAAAGAAATTGAAAAAAAAAATTGTAAAAAAAATAGTAATTAAAAACAGAAAATGTTCTAAAATTGTATTTGTTTAGTGTTGCTAGTGGATTTAACCACCGACCAATTGCTACTCGACTTATGCACAGACAGGAGCCATTGTTTACCTTATTTTTTTGAAAGAAAATAGCGTTTAAAATAGTATTTCTTCCGATCTTCGATAAACTAAAAGAAATTAAACGACGTAACCTTCTTCTACATCAGTTATAGATATTTAGAGCAAAATCATGCACTCACGCAAATGTATTTAGTAATAAAGATGGCCCAAAAGTATTTCTACTTTGAGTCACTTTCAAAATTCAACTGAACGTCGCCATAATATTTGTCGAATCCCGTTTACAAAATCTATGAAGCTCTAATACTACTCCGTAATACAAACCGATAGCGTGATTTAACTTGATCCTAGCGCCATCTAGTGGTTCACGAACGCACTAAACTATGTATGGTGTATGTGGAATTAGTGTAATTTTATCACGTTTGAAATTATACGTCCAGGTAACATTTTTGTGTAAATTGAACAAAAACTCTAGTACAGTCCAAGCGTGCAATTAATCGGCCTAAAACACGCATATAGCGTACGACTCGTATTATTTATTATTTAGACCATTTATTTTAGAAATTCACCTTTCTCATGTCCTAAAAAACAAATTTTGGATTTTAAATGCCAAGTATATTTTGACGTGCGCCAGATCTGTCTTTGACAACATACTTTGACGCAGCCGTTTTCGAGTATTGATTCTGGTGAATACTTGTAATAAGGCATTGTAGCGTGAGTTGTGCTATACTCACACTCTTTCACACCTTCACATTATATAAGTGAATCACATTTTAATTTCAGACCATTGACTTACAAATAAATGGACGACGGGTCTAATACAAAAACCATGAAAAAAATGTCCCAAGTCAACCTATTCGAAATTTAAATTGTAATGTCATCGCAGTATCGCGCTGTCTGTCGAACAATTGAAGACTAAAGCGGAGTGTGGCGCTCTGTATACGATTTTAGCGCCTTACAAGTGCGGACACTTTTTAGCGCGGACCCGACGTCCATACAATTGTAAGTCAATGTTTCAGACAGAATAAATCCAAGTACCAACCACTAAGTATCTTCATTTATATAATTATATTAGACAACATCACATACGTTGTTCTGATCGCAAAGTACGTAACGCACTTGTGTTATGGAAATCCGAAACAACTACGGTACCACAAACACAATATAGAACATTTTTAAATGTTTTGAATATCACGAAGTTTGACCACCATAATATGTAATTATTTTTGTGAAAGTACTCCACTAGCTTGTAATAAAAATTAATGCAACGATCGAACACTTAGAAAAAATTACTTTGATCCGGCAGGATTCGAACCAACGTCTTCCAGCAAACCGTGCCAGTCTATGCCAAGTAAGCCACGGAACGAACTAACGAAACAAAGATCTGCAACAAATACATAGGAAAATTCATAAAGTCCGCTAGTTCGTTTCGTGGCTTACTTAACATAGACTCTGGCACAGTTTGCTGGAAGACGGTTCGAATCCAGCCGGATCAAAATAATTTCGAAGTGAAATTATAATAATACAGGAAAGTTAGTTTCTACATTGACCCGGCCACGGACCTATGCTAGCCACTACGGAGGTGGTAATGTAATCCCAATACATCTTCGTACGTAATATTTATATAAATATTTTACAATTCTACATGCTTTTACACGTCGACAAACAGAACTGACGTTTCTTTATGACTTACACTCAGTATTAAGAGCCGATACTATCTCACCTCGAATTTAATTTTTCTCGTACTAACCAATACGGTTCATTTTGCTCAGGTCGAGCGGCAGAGATACTGGCTTCATTTCAGAATTTATTTTTTTGTGTTTTATTTAGTTCAGTTGATATAAAAAAAATCTTTGGTATATATAAAGTACCTATTGAATATGGTTTACTTGTAAAATTGCGAGGTAAGTTTGTGTTTTTTTTCTATCGTGAAAATTTTTAGAAATCGTATGTTTACCATATACTAATCAGTGTAAATCCTCAATTTTACAATATATTTTTTCTAAAGTAATCGATTCAACACTTTCACAGTTATGCGGAATAAACCAAAGCCATTTGAGGCTCTATAGATTCTTAACACATTCCCGAAGATGTAAAGTACAGAAGTAGCAAAAGTACGGTCTGAATTCTTACCTGTAGGGTAACTTTAAAGGGCTCTAAGTCTCTCGCCCTCTCTTCAAGCAATCTGATAGCTGGTAAAGCAAATTCCTCTCCACGTAATCCTCTGGATTCTTGGGCTCCAAGGAACCACACGTAGTAGGAGGCTTTCTTGATGTCTTTCTTTAGTCGTAGCGCCATCGTGTAGTGCCTTATGTCATTGTTGGCTGTAACAAAGAAATTTGATTTCGTATTAGTTCTTCTGCTTCAACTACGTACAATATTGTTTCAATAATTTTTATAAAGTATAATTTTGTTTGGAAATATATATACCCTGATAAGTAAAGGCATTTTTTCTAAAACTCTGTGTGTTTTCATTTGCAAAAGTACCCCTTTCTACACATTTTATACACACTTGTTGAAACAAAAGAAAGTCTCGAAGTGGTAATTTAGAGCAGTAGAGCTCCTTGTAAAAGAGTTCGTCCTGGAAGGTACTGCCACCTTACCTATTTCTACCACGATACAATAATGTGAGCATCACTGCGTTCTCGTTTTAAAGAGTAAGGGTACTGGTGAAATTACTGGCACATTGGACTTTTCAACATAAGTCTCAGGGTGACGGGCGTAGTGGCAATAATATAATAATAACATTTATTTTCTCTTCCACAAAATACATTAGCTAGGAACAGTTTACACGTAAAGGGAAAGGAAGTTTTTGGTAAGGATAATTTTGTGGGAGACTGATGTCTAAACTAAACATAAAAGTGCCTGTGCGTCAGGCCACCAGGTCTGTCAGAAATATAAAGTCCCACCTCTCAGAAATACAAAATCGGAAAAAAGAAATTCACACAAGATATTTTTAACACTACGAGAAACATTGAAATATCGTTTCATAATCCACAGATACAAACGTGTAATGAGTTGAATCTTGCACATTAGAATCTCAAGCATTGTACCATTTACAGTCCTATGAAATTTGATTTCTTGGGTCCACCATCATTATACCCCTTTCAACATTTTAAGTATTAATAATAATAATAATAATAATAAAATGTCACTCAGATCTTTGCGATTCAAATCTCTGAGTGGCACTGCAACTGTTATGGACAGGCGTGTTGCTTACCGTGTTACTTTAAAGCTACGTCTAAAGTGACTCATAAGGTATTTTTTTAAATTAGCCTATGCTGCCGAGTGAAAGCCTTTCTTCTTGACTTCCACAGGTCACGGATTGGTCATGCCAGTTCCTTACTTAGTCGCTCACCAAGTGGCTTTGTGAGTCAATCTCTGTGAATGCATGCGACAGAAGTGTCCAGACTAGTTGCATTTGAGCTTCGCAGTCCTTGTCCCTACATCGGTCATACGTGTCTTCAAGCGCAGAGAAGTTTTCCGAATTCTATTACAATTAATATACTGCGTTACATTGCTCTTTGGTAGTTTTTATTACAAAATCTATATTTATTTGTTACAATATTCAAATAACTTAGTATTAATTTGGAAGTTTATCTATAATCTTCGTATTTAAATAAGGCATTTAATGGGTATAATTTATATTCTAAGCACGCTGTAATAAAACAACTTTAACCTGTTTAGTATTCAATATGTGTCAGTATTACACAGCGTTAAAATTCAATAGTGGACGCTTGAGTCCGTTGATATACTGACTAAATAATTTAAGTAAAATTACATTGAATTTCAACCTACAACAAACATGCAGTAACAGGCCATATATCGTCTGCTTAAATATGTGCCTGTAATTTCACCAGCACCCTTACTCTTCAAAATCGGAACACAGTAATGCTGCCATTACTGCTTGGCGGCAGAAATAAATACGGTGGCAGTACGTCCCTATGGTTGAACTCTTTCACTAGATTCCACTTAACTATGGAACCAAATGAACTAAAAGATCAAAATAGTTCATTTGTCCGAATCAACTAATTGGGATCGCTCCCTCTAAAGACTGAGCAGACACAGGTCTACTCGGAGGGCCAGCTGCGGACCAGCCCCAAACTCTTCTCGCGCTCGATAGCGGATAGGCTCGACTACCCATACATGAGCACTGTCGTGAATTGCTTGATTCCAGCAGTGTCGATTGTGTATTATGTACCTTACTATTACTACCATTACTCAATTGACTACCTCACACACGAACGTAGTTCGCATAAACTAAATACAGAACACGTGTTGAAATTTCAAAAGTATCATTTAACAATTTCTCATTACAAATTCAACACAAGTAAACGTAGCAAAGTAATGCATATATTGCAAAATAACGGCAAATGGACATTATTTACAGCTGTTCTTATTATTGACAAATACTCCCATGGCGCTCTCTTACGTCATGGTTTCTCAAAACCTTGACTTGAATTAATTGGTGTAATTGACTGGGTGTTAATTTTGGTAAAGTGTTTACCTACATTGCAACATTGTATAAGACGATTATTTAATATGTTATTTTTCTAAATTCAGAATTAATACAGAATTGGTGAATCCCGGAACAGTAGAGTTAATTGTGAAATAGTTGAGTTCGTCCAGGGAAGTACTGGCACCTAACCTATTTATATCGCTAAGAAGTAATGCGAGCATTACTGCGTGTCGGTTTTGAAAGGGTGTTGATGAAATTATAGGCAAAAGGGACCTGTCAAGTTACATCTCAAGGTGACGGACAGATCTTACCGATGTAAAGTTCAGAGCGGCACTGCGACTGCTATGGACAGGCGTGTTGCCAGGCACACGGCTTGTTCGTTTCATTACTTCGTATCACAAATGTATTTGATACTATCAAAAACGGGGAACTGATCAGGGACAAGAAAAATGAAAAATGACATTGTAAAGAACCTGGAAAGGATATTTTCACATACTTTACAGTATTCTTATAAAATACGGAGTATATCGCCTAAGATTTGACGCTTATTACCTATGTTTTAAAAGAAACCGGGAATCCAATTAAGTAGCAAGTTATTTATAAAAAAAAAATTTTTTTCGGATTTAAATGGCGTATATTTGTTTTTTTCAAACAAACCAACGTATCGGGCCCTTTACAAGCCTCATGACCACGGTTGACTTGAATTACAAAAACGTTGATTTGTTTAAAAAACAAATATAGGCGATATATATCCGAAAAAAATAAATTTCTTTATTCCGTTTTAATACAAATGTTACATTGATATTTCTAGTTGAAGATCAGCACTGGGCTTCGTAAATAGGTTCTAAAACAAATAAAAAACTGGGATTTGCAAGAGATTTTTTATCTTAAAATGTTAACCTAAAAAACTAATCTAAACTAAAAAATATCTCGCCCCGTATCGTGCCCGGCTCAAAAGTACCCATTATTCTGGCAATATTGCCTCGCAGAATGGCAATGGACATTTGTTGAACCAACCACGACCTAGAGCGGTGATCGCAGTCCTTATCTCTGAGTCGGCGACTACAGAAATAATTTCACTTCCTATGTATAACAATCGCGAAAACCTAAGAACTCCATACAAAAACACTTACTTACACCTGTAAGTACAATTACATATCACACTACACGTGTGTTATATATACCGCTTCGCATATAAAACATATTCGCGCTTTAAGCATTCTAACGGCACGACAATAGAAAAAAAAAACAACAATATTTTAATTTCATAGGTAAGCAAGTTCCACTTGAAATGCTCACATTGATAAAATGCTATTCTACCTATTCGTAAGGCAGAAACTCTAGGGGTTGCTCTTTATGTATAGACATTTTTACACATTCATCATTATAGACATCATAGATAGAAAAGGGTTAAACTATAAAACACACGCGCACTATAGACAAGATACTGATGCATGCTGCCAAGTAGGATCTAAATCTAAAATATTTTTAAAATAAAGAACTTACAAGATTAATTGACAGAGAAATGATTGACGAGATAATAAATAATAGTCGGCCTCAATAAGGTGACGGCAGAGAGGTGTGGCTTTGCTCTTCGAGTATAATGCATCTGTTCTAACAATGTGAAATTTAAAATACGTTGTAATAATGAATCACTTTCGAGACTGTAGAAGTCCATATGGATTTTCATGTGGATTATATGGTACTTATGCAGAGTTTCATGTTTGACGACCTAGGTCCCGGGTTCGGTTCCCGGTAGGATCAGTCCCGCACCTTCAACATGTGTTTTGATTATAGTGATCCTCCCTATCAATCTCTTGGTTATGCGGGAAGATCATCATAACCTGTGCAACCACAGGGACCTTCTAAGAATTAGTCCTGACCCCGGATTGTGTGTGTACAGGGTTGTCACAGATCGTAGTCACTGACTTCATGCGGCACTCAAAAGGCCTTAAGTGCCTTGGTTGAGTTGTCCCGGGTGCACGTATAGTACCTTTCCTATTTTCCAGATAGGTGCCGGAACTGTGGGCATGTTCATTTCCCGTTGTGCATTACACAACTAACGGTTGCCACCACTAAACCGTTGACTTTAAAGTCCACTGCCAAATTTACACTTTGATGGCGGAGCTGTCGGCACGCTCACCTTCAGGCGTCGAAAGGACTCTCCAGTTCCCAGAGACCTACGCGGCTGGAGGGACCGTAGGATGTCTAGCTTATCCTCTATACCCCGGAAGGATCAATTTGAAAAATTAAGTTTTAGTAGCTGTAAATGTCCTTGTGAAAGGGTTCGTCTAGAGAAGGACTACCACCTAACCTGTTTCTGTCACCAAGCAGTAATGTTAACATTTTTGCGTTCCGGTTTTGAAGGATAAGGCCGTTGGGGAAATTACAGACACATGACACTTTTCGACTTATGTCTCGGTGACGGGCGCAGTGGCAGTGCCTGTCAGATCTTTGTGATTAAGTGACATTGGAACTGTTAGGCATTCCACCAAGGCTTATTACGACTTATTTGTTCCGTCACTTGGTATTATAAAGAAAAATATGTTCCGGTTACATCCATCTCGGGTTGTGCCCCGTAGTGAATTCTGTTGCTCTGGTACTCACAGAGAATTCCCTAATATGAGGCCAGTTAATTGATGTGGGTGTCGGGCACATTATTATTATTATCATTATTATAAAAAAAATGTATTAATAAAAATATCTCATCTGAATATTCTGAATAGTGCCCCCGCGGATAATTTCATTACTCTGGTACTTACTCATAGTACAGGGCATTATTACTTTGATACTGGGTCATTGTTGCGATTGTCCGGCAAATTATTATTGTAACAAAGTATAGTGTAGCAAATAACAAATATCTTA